GGGGGAGGGGGGGGGGGGGGGGGGGGGGGGGGGGGAAACAAACAGCTTCCCCCCCTCCCCATCAATTGTGGTTATGACTCCTCGGACGCAAAATCGTCTCACCTCATTTTGACAAGACCTGATGAAAACAAACCTGTATCCACGTGCAGTGCGAATATGTCGTCGATGATTTGGAGTTCCGACGAAAAATCCATCCAATAGTTGACCCGAGAAGGGATCTTTGCCCGATGACTCCTCCCACCGACTCCATTAAAGAGATCGTCCATGTAAAGGGCGTCCGAGAAGACGGTGGTCGCGATGAATCCGTTCCCCAGAGTGGGCATCAATCTAGTCTGGATTTCACCTCCTCCATCCTCCGGTAAGCTAGACGAGAGAGGATTCTCGTATCTTCACCCTGCCTTTTTTCTGGGCCGGTCCATTTTCAATCCGAGATCTTGGACTCCACGAAATGCCTTTTTCAGAAATTTGGGCGATCCGGGGAGATATCGCGATACCAAGATAAGAAAATTGTACGCATTCTTGGAAGAAGGTGCTTTGGAATTCGGAGCATTCGCTTTGGATTTGACAGCTTTTCGGGGCAGCGTTCACAAACCTAGTAATCGCACGACACGAAAGGAAATAGTCATCATCGGATGAGATCCCGAGGTTTCGTGCTTCGACTTTCCAGCTTCAGTTATTCCAGGCTATGATTTCCAGTCAAGCGAAAATTGGTCCTAATTTTGCCTTAATTGACATCCTTAGAAGGCCTCTCCCGTCGCAAAATATATTTTGCTCACAGAAAAAAAATCACAAATGTAAGATGTCATTCACGTTCTCGAACTTCTACCATCCTCTAAAATAGAATATGCATGCCAGTCAAAAGAGCCGTCCGCTCTTATCTCTGTTTCAGACATGTATAAGTGGTTTGATGGGATGGAATCTGCCAACCTTGTTAAAAAAAAAAAACAAATCCTGCCAACGTTACGAAGCTCGAAGAGCTGCCAAACATATCTGTTGGACAAAAAAATATGAAAAAAATAAAAAAAAGAAAGAGAAACGTGGGCGAAAGCCTTTGAAAAGGGCTGCCGCACAGCAACCAAATTCTACCGGGTGGGGGGTTTCTCCAAATTTCCTTCCTACTGCATAATCTCTTAGGGTGTTTGAAAGGTTTATGAACTTAAATAAGGGATCAATTCATCTCAGCAAATCAATTAAAGGTCGATTACTATTAGATTATTAGAGTTCCTTGAACACTTTTTTCCCCTTAGAACTTCTTTAAAAGCGGAAAATCGCGTCAACTGATTGTTGTTGTTGACCACCAACTTTTTTTTTAGTTAGTGAGGATTTTTGACTGATAAGAGGAACAATATTTAAGGATATACAATATATTACAGAAAGGGTCTTATCAGTGTCTTACTTTTAGCATAGTAGTCAGAATACTATGTTGTAAGTGTCATGAAGTGCTGATGATTTATAAAACACTTCATGAAAACTTGAGATTTTGGAAGAGAATCAATCGTCGAGGTTATGTAACATACGTCCTCGTTGCAAAGACGTAGGGATCGTCACTGATGTCCTCTTGGGCAGAGGAGGAGATCACAAGAAGAACGAGGAGAGAAATGATTGGCAGCTGTATCTTCATCACGATCCTCGCCAGAGAAACCTGGAAAACAGGAGTGCCAAAATTGCCTTCATGGCCATTCTTGAATAGTACGCTGTAGGTGAGTGAAATAAATTTTTAAAAATCACAGAAGTTTTCAGGGCACACCATACAGAGACATGAAACGTAACGCATATTAACAGAAGATTGCAATGACATTATAAGAGAATTTTGCAATATGATCCATTAATCGCTAGAGAACGCTCTCCGTTCCTGATATCTTTCTTATATGCATGATTGTCAATGTGAGGTCAAGGGAGGTTGATGAAGTCACAACACCTTAAGTTCAACCAACTGACACACGAATCCATCACGAATGACAAACTTTCAACTGTAGGGTAGTGCAAGAAAATTTGTCACAGCCGACCAATAACAAGCATTATTCAGACTGGGATTTAACATACATGCGAATCACGAAGTAGCTGAGGTACCCAGTCGGCACAGCCATGTTGTGTTAACGTTGAGAAAAGGTTGAAACGTTGAGACTTGCTTCAAGTTGAGAATCCGACGAAGAATCGACATCAGCGAAATGCTGGCTATTCGTAATTAACAGTATTTGCAGTTAACCCACGAGTAGTCACAATGACTACTCGTGGGTTAACGAAGTCGTTTAATGCCCAGCAAACAAGGTAACGTTGGATCAACGTTATATCAACGTTCCGAACGTTCATTCAATGTTGATTCAACGCTGATTCAACATTATGTGTTTAAAATTGTTTGCTGGGTGGCTATTAGGCGCAAATTCATTTTTCATCATATATGATTTGCGCTTAATAGCCACTAAACGACTTTGCTAATCCACGAGTAGTCACAATATACTGCAAATCCTGTTAATTACGAATAGCCAGCATTTCATTGATGTCGATTCTTCGTCGGATTCTCAACTTGAACCAAGTCTCAACGTTTCAACCTTTTCTCAACGTTGACACGACATGGCTGTGCCGACTGGGTATTAATACACGAGGGAGACAAGCCTTTAGGATTTCCTAGTTTTGGGCAAAGTGGCTTGCCAACTTCTAGAGACTGACGAAAATTCCCATAGAAGAAACTGGGGAGGAGGGAAAATATGTAGAGTGAAGCAAGTCGAACTGGAGGGTGAAGCGAAACAGTTTGCAGCAAAGCAAAGTGCAGCCTAGCAGGGCGCAACGAAGCTGGGTGAAAGATCACTTCTACGATCTCCTATTCCTTCTCAGACAGAGCCTTCAATCGTCAAGCTCTCCTCTTCCTCCATTTTAATTCAAGTCATGTAATAAGTCTGATTCGAACGTGCGGCTTTGTCACGTCTGGCTTGTTCTAAGCTGGATGATTCAGAGGTGCGACACGTTGACGAAGCCGGACGAGGCATACGCCTACCTTGACGTCTGCAAGGGTCGCGCCATTGATTACAGATCAAGTGGTGGGAAGGGCTCTCATTAGAGATTCACTGAGTGCCGTGAAAGTTTCCCTAAAGGATTTATGGTCATTAATAGGGGGACAGCCATGTCAAGCCGCGCATCCGGAAAGTCGATAAAATGGTCAAACAGAACTTGGCGTATTACCATTGTATGTTTTGACAACATCGTGCCGAGATGAGAGGCCGGCATGGTGCGGTCAGGACCCTAACAAGGTCTGGATGCACCAAGATAAGGCATCCGGCCATACCTCCAAGTCAGGGTTGGATAGTTACACGTTACTGTACACGTTACAAACTTCAGGGACGCGTAACGGTGATCGCTCCATCTCGCAAGGACGAGTAACGGTATTTCTTTTCCCATTTGTTAAGTTTATGACTGTTATCGTTGCCTGTGAAAAATGAGAATATCTCCATTCTGGTCCATCCATTTTTTATTCTTTCAGGGTATGGTGATGCTAGTGAGCATGTCATAGTGATGGAAAAGAAGCTAGAAATGTAACGAGTGACCTTGAAATAAAGGAACTAGTAACGGTAACTAGTTCACTTTCTGCAAAGCAATTACAACTGTAAATAGTTCCATTTCAGAAGTAACACGCCCATCCCTGCTCCAAGTGATCGTCAGCGTTCCTGCACAAGATGGAAACAGTAATTCACGCTGCCCGTTCGAAGACGTTCTCGTCGGGTCGCCAGATGCGTCTCCAACGGACTTTTGAGCTTTCGGACTTCTGAAACGTGCATTTTGAAAGCACCTGAGTAAGAATCGACTGAAGCACTTCTTCAAAAATCAAGCATTGGCAGAATATTTTATCCTTGACAGCATATTTATTCCTACAACACTTCGGGCATTGCTTTTAGTGGGCACAGCTTTTTTACTCGATATATAGATTTCTTTAGGAAAGAAAAGCTCAGTAGTTTCCTATTGGAGAAATATAGTTTCGTACATGTGACAAAACAACAACAAGATAGATAAGGGACCGACACCAGAAGCTGCGAGGAGCTGAGATTAGGATTATATCTTTGTCGGTACTCTAAGCAGACCCCAATAATGCTCCGTTACGAAACGTAACAAGTCGATCATTCCACCATCAGTGCGTCAATGATTTGTGCTCAGGTTCAGGGATTTCTCCCCTTAGGTGCACGTAATTCACACGCACGTGCACAGTGGAAAACATCATGCCATGACATCATCCCAATACGATGACAACCTGCATTGGCTCATAGTCGTACGCATGTCTAAAAAAAGAAGGAATGCCAACTCGAGTGAAGGGAATCGCGTCCATGGCTCGAGAGAGCATAGAGGGGAAGGATAGAGCAACGCAAGATATGACATATCTTCGCTCCTTCCCAAACGGATAGCTGGATTCACGAATATGCGATCCACTGTCACTGTAAATGGGATCGTGCAAAGGAGGAAACAGCGAAGTTGAACTAATAGTGGTTTCTCAAGGACGGCTCAGCCTGCTTTGGATTTCCCCATTCGGTAGCACCTCACTACGGAACGTAAAAGCACGCAGACGATCCACGCGACGACATGACACCGGTGATACTTTCGCACCGACGTCTCGTCGCCTCGCCTCCAGGGGCTTCACATCATTCGATTCCTACCCTCTTTCACACCTACAACCTTTTAAGTCTCATCGAAAGAAACAACGGAAGTTCCTTCGTTTCACTCCGACATCAGCTCCCCGTGTTCCCCTAAACTAAAGGACACACTTTAAAAATGATATCTTCACTGCCCGCTAACAGGTAGCGATTGACGGATGTGACAAGATTCATCCTTGGAACCAGTGGCGTAACGAGAAGGGATGGGGGGGGGGGGGGCGAAACTCCGGCTACGCCACTGCTTGGAACGCAGTGCCTCGGAGTACTTCCCGTTCCCAGGTGAGAAACGGCTTGGCTCCTATTCTCGATTCGGAGACCTGCAGAGGCAGAAACGGAAGAGCTCCATGATTTTTTTCTTTTACGAGCGTTCAGACACAGACGAGTTCCTCGGACACCTCACGAGAGACATTTGTGAGGTTGTGTGAGGCCGCAGATCCCATTTCGTTCAGGTAACATATCTTTTACGTCTGTTACATATTTTTCAAATTTCTTTTATGACCACAAGGCCACTTCCCTTCCGAGAGAGTGAAGCAATCATGAAGGCGCGCAATTTCCTTCTTGCTGATCCGTTTCAACCAACAATCGTGCCAAAACTTTCCTCTCCATTTGTTATGGGCGGAGTTTGAGGGGTCGTAGAAATAGGGATAAGCCCCCTTTTGACATTCTGCCAAAATTATATGCGATATACTGCAGAAATAACATTTTTGTTAGCTGCGAAAAGAATGCACGAAATTAATGTTATTGTGACGGGCATGTGATAGCTGAAAAATACTGAGCAGTTATGGTTTCACTCACACGGAGGAATAGAAGTGTAATGACTTCGAGATTTATATTTATTACAGTGTTTCCCCATTGATTTTCGTACCAGCTGCAGCGCAGCGCAACAGCGCCAAAATTCTTCGTAGGCATTTCAAAATAATCCGTTGGCATTTCATGTTTCGTACTCCCTTCTGCCATCTCAGCGGAGGAAGGGTACCAAAATTACGCACTGCGCATCAACCATTTTGAGAGAGGTGCCAACTATTTTTACTGCTAGTACTCAGCACTCTGCCAAGCGTCCGAATCTCACTGAGAAACTTTGTAGATGTTCGTCTGCAATAAAAGAAGAGGGAGGCAGCGATTCAACGAAACAGCATGTATCATCGATGAAAGCAGCAATAGCGCAATTAGGCTATGATAACGGGCCCGTGATTGAGACGATGAGTGATCAGAAGATAGCCAATTGCAGACTGGAGTATCAGTCCAAGTATACATCTGCCATTCCACTGGTCGATGTAACATAAACTGGGTTTATATCCCTCCTTCGCGTCTTAACCATCAAACTTTTTGAATGACAAATGAAAATGTTCATTCGAACGTCGTGTCACTGCGAATAGTCCAAGAAAACTCGATGAAGTCCTCGTTCGCGTGAAGACGGGAGGAGTACAACGTATCGGATGGCAGATGCGCCGTTTTATGAGTTCGGCCGGCAACCCTGTCAACGCTGCAACGTGCAGCTGCTCTCTCCGTATGTCAGCTATGGATCTATCAACTGCCGAGGCTGGAAGGGAACTGACAGTTTTAGTTGGTGACTTGACAACCCGACCTAGGCTCAGGCGCGTCATTTCGGGGTGGGGGCATTGCCCCTACTCGCTTGTGATACTAATAGCTACATCCATCCTTTGTTTCCTTGTAAGGTACGACGTGAATGTAGGGGGAAGTGCGTGGGGGGAGTGGCGAAGCTGTCTCGTCTCATGGAGGCGCTCAGCACCCCCTATCACACGGCGCACCTAATCGTATGGGCAGAAAAATGTAAATGGCGGACAGGAGGAGGCGCCTGAAGTCTCAAATCAGCCTTGCCGTCCCACTTGCAGTTTTCTGAAAAGACGTCCCTGGCCTGGCTGATAGTTGCTCATGTGCATCGTATCGAGAACAAGCACAACAGTTGCTATGAAAACTGAGGCCGGACGAAATGATAAGTGAGAAAAAGGTCTCAAACCGACTGCAATATCTCCCATTTTCTCTTAAGTCACTATGGAAACGGCAGATAACTAGGAGGCCGACAGGCGATGGCTTGGCCAACAAGCACGGTTGGTTCGAAGCAGAGGTGGAGGGAGTGGTCAGAGATGGGGTCTCGACCTGGACCCGCACCGCAACGGAGTGGGGGATGAATGCCAGGTGCCGTCCGTGGAGAGATGTCAAGGGCATATTTGACTCCGTGTGTGGGCATCTTCAACCATATAATATATTATCTACGGCGATTAGGCCATTCTTGTGTGAAGATCGCATGATCATCATGGAGAAAAACTGAAGAGTGAAGGGATGAACTGCCTGAAGGCACTTCTCACCTACCGAGAATGCGATTCCCACCTGTCATAGGTAGGTGAGAATCAGGCACTCATTTACTTTCTAGTATACTTATGAATGCACAAATAGAAATGGGAGGGGCGTGGGTATAGTTTTTTTCGTTAGCTTCCTCCAATGAAATTCCTTAGCTCCAACTATGCTAGTGATACAAGCATCTTGTATATACAAAATAAACGAATTGGAAATTTAAATTCAGTAGCTTCTGTGACGTGCACGCAGAAAGAGACTTCTAGAAAATCTCTCCTTTTCTGCATGGACTTGCACGGACATCCATCCTTTAGCATGATTCACCGTGATGCGTAACACATTCAGCCTCGCTTTAACTCTTACTAATACAACCCTTACGATCAGGGCCGGATTAAGGGGGGGGGGGGCAAAGGGGGCAGTTGCCCCGGGCCCCACTCTTCCAGGGGGCCCCCGAAGGAAATTAAAAACATTAAGTTAAAAAAAGTATTGTATTTGCGTAAAGTAGCGGGGGGGGGGGGGGGGGGGGG